TATTCCTTGATATTTTCTGTCTATATTAACTGTATGGTATTTAGCTTCTTTTATTTTATATACTCTATTAGACATTAAAATAATAAATTCATTTTGTATTTCATGACTCAAATAATGTATATGTAATTTAGTATTTGTTATTCTTTTAACATGTGTTATAATTATTGGATCAAAATTGCTTAATATTTCAATTAATCCTAGAAAATCATCAGTGGTGTATTAGTAAATATATTTATGGGTATACGCATTACTAAAATATGTATATTCAATCTAAAAAAATTTTTCATACTCCGCTCAAATATTTCTTTCTTATTAGTCGTTACACTAGAAAAAATTAACTTAATCATTTACATCAAGTTTATAACTATTAACTTCTAATGTAGATATTTATATAAAATTAAAGACGGGTAATGTCAAGTATCAATGTCTGTTCGTTCGCAAATATTGTTATCATATATTATATATAACATATTCTTGTTTCAATATTATGTCATCTGGTCATCACAATATTCAAAATTTAAAACAACAAACAATTTTTAAATAAAATTTTTTTTTTTTGAGTATTATTACTATTCATAGTTTTATAGTAAATTAATAAATAAGTAAACCTCAACCTATACACATAATGAATAATGAAAATGAAATTTTATAAATTCTTAACAAATACTCTAGCAGTCAAGACTTATTACATGATATTTAGGTACTCTTTGGAAATAAATTTTTATTTTTTTAATTAGTACCTATTTATTCTTTTTACTGTAAATTGTTATAATCAGATGATTCTTTTGAAAATTTTATTTTAATATATACATGCATCAATGTACCTTAGTCGATAATTTAAATGACTAGTTTCTAAGTGATTAAACTATAAATGCTTTTTAAAGATAATTTATTAAATGGTATTTTAAAATAGATGAAATACGGCGCATACTAATAAATAAGATAAATAATTTATTAAAACATCATAATAATTTTTTCTATGAATTGAAAAATAAGTTTTATTTGGTTTTCGAGTTATTTTATCAGCGTATACCCATAAAATGATATTTCACATTGGATATATGTTAAAAATCTGCTGACAACTATATGGCGTATACCCGCGTATTCATATCAATAAATCATTGAAAATCATATTGTTTTTTAAAAAATTAACACATCTGATTAGCATCATATTTTGATAAAACCAGAGTAATTTTCTGTTTGTTTATCTGATAGTGAGCAAATCCTGGCTATTTTTTGTTAATATCATCTTCATAGGTAATTATGAATTGATTTTTATCATCAGCTTTCTATAGATTATCATCTTTTGTTCCATTGTCTATATTTGTTTGTGTTTTAAAAATGTTCAAATAGAAAAAAAAACAATACTTAATAACATTTTTTGTTTGATATACTTACATCTATAATAAATTAATAATATTGATTTTATAATATTAGATAATAAAATTGATTATACTATAATTTAGTATATAATTAAAAAAATTAAATAATAAAAGTACTTTTAAAAAAAATACTACCTACTTTAAGCTTTTTAAAAAGTAGATATTTTGTACTACCTTCATAGTATAATATTATTAATTTAATAATCATAAATATAAAATAACATAAAACAAATAAGATATTGGAACTACCTATCTTGAATTGTAAGACAAAAAATTTAATGAAATCTTATTTATACAGGTGTTGTATTTAAAATGAAACTAAAAAATGTCAAAAATAAGGTATTAATAAGTAATAGTTAACATATATTAATAAGTCTAGTTTTATTCAATTAATTATATTTTTTTGATACAGTCAAAATCTAAAATAATGTCAAGTTCAAAAATATATTTATTAAAAAAAAAAAAAAAAATCATGTATCAATGAATAACCTACACAATACACCAGTATTTTTCCTAACTTTTTTGCTATATTATATTTATTTAATTTGAATTATGTGAATTATAATGTTACTATATAGTACATATAGATTGAAATATAAATAGTCAAAATACTTACAATATCAGTTGCTTTTTGAGTGTAGATTTTACAAAATTGATAATCTAAAATTCTCTATGATAAAACTATAAAAAAAAAATTCTTATATTTAAGAGCATTTTAATTTTCTTTTTAAAGATCCACTTAAATATACACATTTGGATATGATTACAAATTTAAAATATGAATTTGTAAAATAACATAAAAGTTGTAAGTAATATGATCATAAATAAGCAAATAGCTGTGAATTTTCACAAAAGTAGGATTTGAAGTAAAATTTAATTTTTATTTTAACACATTTAAGTAGGTAAGACAACTGTATATATGTAAGTAATTAATTATTTGTTAAATAAGAAATTCTAAATAAATTCTAATAGGTATATCAGTAATTCTATGATAATATAATGCAGATAAAATTTTAAATGTAATGATCTAAATATAATAATAATCAATTATATGAATTGAATTAAATTGTTAAATTATTTTATGAACATGAATGTGGTAAAAACATGATTTTTAACAAAATGCTTTTTAAATATTTTAGAATATATATTTTTTTTAAATTTTTTTTTAAATAATTAAAGTACCATTTTCTTTTAAGCCTCTTTATGGGATTTCTGAAGTCTGAACATTAGAGTCAGAGTTAAGTACAGAAAATAGAGGATTTGGTTAATTCTATAGACATGAATGTAATTAAATATTAAAATACCTCTCAATATATTTAGTTATTGTAGCTATAACATTTCAATTACATAAAATATTTTACTTAGTATCTTAAAAATTTACTTCTGTTTCTAACTTTTAACATACCTATCTACAATAATTAAACTATGTATAACGAATTATTATTTTTTTGAATGTAAGGAATATTATATACATTTTATGATTAAAATCAAAATCATAATTTATTTTTAGGTTTTACATTCTATATTTGAAATTTGTTTGAATATTTTAATGTATTTATATTGTTTGTAATCGAAATATTATTATTTAGTGCTTCAAAATTGCATTGACCTTGATATCTATGAATTTGTTGTAGTAGTTTCTTATGTTTCTCACCATAGATTTTAGTTTTATCATTAAGTTTTCAAAATAATCTAATTTATATTATCAAATAGAGCATAAAGTTCAAAATTAAGTACGATGTAATGTAATCCATAAATATTTATTATAGAGCACTGATCAACCAAAACTATTATCAAACGTTTCCGTAAAGCATTTTAAAAGTTGTTGAGTATATCTAGAGATATGACTTTAATTAGAATTTTCAAAAGTATAGTTACGACAATATTTATTAACGTATAATTTGTATAACATACAGTTGAAATAATATGTTAAAATACAAACTGATCAAAGTAAATAAGTAAAATCCGTAATTCTGTAGTATTAAATTTACAATAATTTTGTATTTCGTGTTTTTTTATAAAATCTAATGCTAAATCATATTTTTAATTTTTAAAAATATACTAGGCATTTCTATTATTTGACATTTAGAAAATTGTGCACTTAGAAGACCTTAAATAAAGATAAAAGTTTTTCCTTAACTTCTAGATTTGTTAGGTGCATATAATTAATAATAACAGATTTTCTTATACACAATTTTTTGATTTCATAATTATTATAGGAGTTGGAAAAATATGATGGTTTTCGTATTAGCAACTTCAATAATCTTTATCAGTTCTTAAAACGAAACCTGTTATTGTTCAAAAAATTTAGATTTGATTATTTAATTATTCTCTCTCTATAATACAATATTTACAATAATGTTATGTAGTATGACATACCTTCAAAACAAACATTATTAGCAGCATCGCAACATAGGCATTGTTCTAATTGTATTTTATTGTTTTAATATTAAATGAATTATTATTTCTTATGTTAGTTTTCAGTTTGTTTGTAATTTCTGTTAGTTATCTGTTGCCAATAGAACTGTGGTTAAGTATTATAAGAGTGATTGTTTGTAATTTAGATTCAGCTTTTGGTTTTATTTATTAATGTAATCGTCTGTTAATTTCTTAAAGTTCTATGTTGTTAGATAGTGTAAAATTTATATTAACGTATGTTAATAGTCCGTGGTATTCTGTGTTGTATTAAGAAAATTTAATTATTGCAATTGTAAAAATAATTATAATATTGAAATTGAAATTTGATACATATTAACATATATTCATATTAACTATCTGAGACAATATATATATATGGCTATGTTACGGATGATACAAGGATGTCCATGCACAAATATTTTAACAAACACTTTTAAACTACTTAATTTATGTATTCTATATTAAAAAATTTTAGAATAAGTAATATTAAAATAATGCTCTGATAATAGTGTGTTGATACTAATGCTCTGTGCTTACTCAAGACTGACGAACCCACGTTGTACGTTTAGTTGTCTGGTTTTGAAAGCTTATTCAGCACATTTTTTAAGATACTGCTTTATATATAATTTTACAGACCATATTATTATTGCTATACTAAATTTAAAAAACAAAAACAAAACAAAGGTACTTAATACAATATTGAGTATATTTAAAGATTTTATTTCTTAATTTGGACTTACGATAATATAAACTACTTATTAAAAGGATAACAGTTTTTTAGTTCTTGGAGAACCACACTATTTACTGTACATTGTTAAGCATGTATTTATTTTAAATTGTGATCCATCTAAATTTAATATTTGAGTGATTCACTTCAATTATCCAGATTATATTTGTTGTCGTAGGTTTTGTAGTGGACTGTATAGATTTAATGTATTAAAGTTTAACACTTAAACATTTATTTTATCATATATGAAAACGGACTCGGTGACACTAAAATAAGTAGAATAATCGTACATCGATCGGACCAATATAGGCGAGCATAAGATAATAATTATTATAACAATACAAATAATAATAATAATAATAATAATAGTGACATCTCTGATATACATATAATACACGCGTCAACAATATTATTTTAATATACAACAATGATTATTTAAATTTTGAATTTTAGTTTTTTATGTTAACGTAAATGTTCTATAATTTATTGTTGTTCATATGTATTGTATTTTATTCATTTCAGAACATCCTAGTCGTCTTTTGGCAGTGAACTTTTTGCGACTGATAGCAGTGACATGGCTCACGAACTAGAGAACGTTGAGAATGAGAAACCGTTTACCGTGTTCAGTTTGGCTATGATGGCGTACAGAACGAGTAACGAAATTGAACGGAATGCGTACAACTTGCTCGGCGTGCCAAATTTGAATTTGGGTGAATGTTGCACATTACTGTTCGAAATCATTAACCATAACTCAACAATTTGTGATCCAAACCAGTCTAATGACAAGCGGGACATGTTTATCAAAGTGACGCAAATCTTCCCAGATTATAAAAAAAAGTTCGAACAAATATGCAACATGGCCGTGGATTGTGGACACTTTGATTGTCTGAGGATGGCCCACGAAATGGGCTGTCCGTGGGACGAGACAACGACCATGCGTGCTGTGCAACGGAGGCTCCTACAATGTTTGATGTATGCGCACGAACACGGTTGTCCCTGGGATAAACGAACATGTAGCGAGGCAGCAAAGAGCGGTCAAATAGAATGCCTGGTGTACGCACACGATAACGGGTGCGAATGGACCAAAGCAACTTGCAACGGAGCGGCGTTAGAGGGTAACTTAGAGTGTCTTATGTATGCACATACTAGAGGATGCCCTTGGAACTTCAATACGACCAAGTCGGCCGCAGCCGGTGGACACCTAAACTGCCTAATGTACGCTCACAGTAATGGGTGTCCCTGGGATTCAACTACGACTTCTATGGCCTCGTCTAATGGACATCTGATTTGCTTGATGTATGCACACAATAATGGGTGCCCTTGGAACGCGGATACGACTACTTTTGCCGCAGCTGGTGGACATCTGGACTGCCTGGCATACGCGTTCAATAACGGGTGCGCGTGGACCAACTCGACGTGCGCCTCGGCGGCGGACATGGGCCACATGGATTGCCTGGTATTCGCGTTCGAAAACCAGTGTCCACGGGACGAGTGGACGTGCAGCTCGGCGGCGAGAAATGGTCACCTCGAGATACTCGTATATGCGCACGAGCACCACTGTCCTTGGGACATGTGGACGTGCGTGTACGCCGCGCAACGGGGACATTTGGACTGTCTTGCTTACGCATTTATCAACGGTTGCCCGTGTGATGAATTCACGTGCAGCGAGGCAGCGAGATGCGGCCAACTGGAATGTCTTGAATATCTGCGTGATAACGAATGTCCTTGGGGCGAAGGTACACCTCAATCAGCCGCTAGCGAAGGACGTCTAGATTGTTTGATGTTCGCGGTTAAAAACTGTTGTCCGTGGAATTCTAACACTTGCTCTGCCGCTGCGTTGTACGGGAAGATAGACTGCCTGCGCTATGCACACGAACATGAGTGCCCATGGGACTTGTTCACGTGCGCGTTCGCCGCATCCGGAGGAAACCTCGAATGTTTAGCGTACGCGCACGAAAACGGGTGTCCGTGGGACGAGAAGACGTGTTCCGAGGCGGCGGCGAACAACAGTATGGAATGTTTGTTGTACGCGCGCAATAACGGTTGTCCGTGGGACAGTTCGGTGTGCAGCCATGCGGCATACAAAGGCCATTTCAGTATACTGAAGTACGCGCGAGAAAACGGTTGTCCTTGGGATACCACTATACCCGAGTATGCCGCGGGACAAGGACACCTCGAATGCCTCATATACGCGTATGAAAATCAGTGTCCGTGGGACGCGACTACGTGCTTAAACGCTGCGATAAACGGGAAAATCGAATGCTTGCGATATGCTCACGAGCACGGGTGCCCGTGGGACTCGGACACGTGCTCGTTCTCGGCGCGAACAGGAAACTTGGAATGCCTGCAATACGCGTACGAACATGGATGCCCGTGGGACTCGGACACGTGCTTCAATGCCGCGATGATTGGCAGTATAGAATGTCTTCGATATGCTCACGAGCACGGGTGCCCGTGGAACTTGACCATTTGTTCGATAGCCGCCAACCGGGGCAATATTGAATGTTTGCAATACGCACACGAGAACGGGTGCTTGTGGGAATCGGACACGTGCATGTATGCCGCCATGAACGGGTACATTGAGTGCCTGCGATATGCGCACGAGCATGGATGCACTTGGGATTCGGAAACGTGCAAGAATGCTGCGGAGAATGGTAATTTGGAGTGTCTGCAATACGCACACGAGAACGGGTGTCATTGGAACTCTGACACGTGCAAGTACGCCGCGATTAACGGGCACATCGAATGTTTGCAATACGCATTCGAGAATGGGTGCACGTGGAACTCAAACACGTGCAAGTTCGCGGCGGGGAATGGTCAACTCAGATGCCTACAATATGCGCACGAGAATGGGTGCCCGTGGGACTCGGATACATGCCGGTACGCCGCTGAGAACGGGCACATGGAGTGCCTGCAATATGCGCACGAGAACGGGTGCCCGTGGGACACGAGAACATGCTCTGGTGCTGCGGGAAAGGGCAAGATCGATTGTCTACAATATGCGCATGAGAACGGGTGCCCGTGGAACTCGGAGACGTGCCTTAACGCCATGATGTACAAGAAGTTCGAATGTTTGCAATATGCGCACGAGAACGGGTGCCCGTGGGACGCGTACACGATGAAATGGGCCGCGTGGAATGGGGATGTCGAATTCATGCGGTATGCACATGAAAACGGGTGCCCGTGGGACCATCACACGTGGACGGCTGCGCTCAGATCTGGGAACAAGGAGTGTCTAGATTATGCCGCAGAACACGGATGCCCGCGATCAATGGTACATTCATCGTTTTTGTTATTCCATTATTGAGGCAATAATCACTTTGATTGAACTAGTGTACACGCGGAACGACCATTTTGCCCCTAGATCTAAAGTCATTGAGTACCTCGAGTACACGTGTTGAAATGTTCGTTTGTCGTACGTACTCACGTATCCCACAATTTGTAAATAATAATAATAGATAATAATAGTAAAATGTATAGCAAAGCTGGGAAAGTCAGTTATTTTTTTTTCAACTAGCTAAAGTTGGTTACTTTAATGCAAAATATAACTAAGTCAGTATAGACATTTGTTTCTGAAATTTACAAAATTTTTAACTTGATTAGTTGGAAGTTAGTTTGATGAAAATACTCACTTAAGTTAGAAGTTAGTTTTTTAAATTTAAAATAAAAATTTATAAAACCAGTTTTTTACAAATTAAATGAATTAAATAAATTAGTTATAAAGTAGATGAGTAACAAACTTAAACTATTGGAAATAAATTAAAAATTAAAATTGAACAACTGATATTGATCAAATTTTCAAGTAAGTCTAGGAAATACTAATGTAAAGAATTGGATATTTATAAATATATAAATGTAATACTAATTCAACCAGTTTCGACAGTAAACCAATTAACATGGTATTATCATTCAAATATTTAGGAATAACGATAGATTTCTATCTGAAATGGTTAAACCATATACAGAATATTGAAAATAAAATGAGAAGTTTGACTACTCTATTTTACAAAATTAATTTTCTAAATAAAATAGTTATAAGACTAGTATATATAGCATTATGTAATTCAATTTTATTATATGGTATACCATGTTGGAGAGGCGCAAATAGAACAGACATAAACACTGTATATATTATCCATAAACATAATAAAATTAGCTTACTCTCTTTCGATAACATATCAATCAGTCGAGTTATTTAGATATACAAATATATTATCTATCTATAAATTTTACAATAAATAAATTCTCAAAAAATCCATACAAAGAGTCTAATATAACGTTTATGTGAAAATCAGTTTAATAAATCCTATTTTATAATTAATAAAACTCATATAAAAAAAACAATTAGTAGAATAGTTAATGACCTTGACGTGAATCAATCAAATTATAAAAAATCGATATGTGTAAATATAAATGATAAAGAAAACTTAGGTATTAATATTGATAATATAAATTAATCAATGCTATTGTATATCTAGAAAATTAAGTGAACTTTTTTAATTGTGTAAGAAATTTTATATAATATTATTATTATTGTTATTATTATAATTATGCTTAAAAAAAAAAATAAAAATAATATTAAGAGAAAAAATTACAAAAAAATTGTTCTTAAAATTTAAAATTTAATATACCTTAGTAAATACTCAATAATAATCATATTTATTATTACATAAATACATAATTAGTTACTTATTGATTTTAACGAGTTAGGTTAAATTATTTTACACATTAAATTCAATTAGTTAAGTTACAAAGTTAATATACATTGAAACTAATTAGTTAGTGCCCAGCTTTGAATTGTATAGTATACTCGGGGTTGAGCAGTATCTTCGATACAAGAATCTAAGAAACGTATCTTAGATGCAATTCTATCGAGTATCTAGTATCTCGATATTGATTTTTGAGTATCTTGTTTATCCTTGAGTATACCTGTATTGTACCTTATGCAGTGGCGAAGAGTGCCGGCACAAGGTTTTGCGAGGCCCAGATCAAGTAAAAAATGTAGAGCCCTCCCACCCTCATTCCTATCTTATACATTACATCCCCATTCTAAATTAATTATAGATTTATTTCAAAAAGTAATTTTGTCCATTGATTTTAAAACAGTTATTGTACGTTATAGGTACCTATTTAAATAAAATCAAAACTAGGAATGATAAATGTATTATCATATTATTTGCATAGAAAATAAATTTATCATCATAATTTTACTGTTATAAAATATCAAAATAAATGTATTATTGATAATTACTTAATAATAATAATACATAATTTATTAATTTGTAAAAACAAAAAATAGAAACATTAATTAAACCTATATATAAAAAATTGTATGTATTATGAATAAAATAAATTTAATGTATTTTTGTTTAAATATTTTTTTTATTTTTAAATATTATCTTATATTTGTTTACCCTAATTCCGAACGCAAGCTTCGCTACTGATACAGAGCGGTCTATAAAGCGGTTCTATCCGGATGGTCGTATTGGTGGTTCACATTTTACTTGACACGTATTTGTCCGCCAAAACTACCAGGGTCCCATGCAACAGCGACGAGTGTTTCGTCGGCACGATAATAATGTATTATATTACATCGATGGACGAGAGTTAACACGATTGCGTTCGAGCATATAAGATGATTCTATTGATTTTCCAATCACTATTTAAAAATGTAGTCGGACTTACATAAGGTCCTTATGTATAATATAATAGTTCTATAACTATTGATAAATATTAAATAATAAATAATCAAGTATAAAATTGTAATATAAATGTATTGTAACAATATATGTAAAGATATGTAATGAAGAAAAGGAATTTTATTTAAGTTTAAATAATTTTAAGTCAATGGCAGTGGCGGCTCGTGTATATGTGCACAAGTGTACATGCACTACCTATCCAAATTCAAGAAAAATTGAAAACATAAATCATGATAGTAGAACTAAACTAAGTACCTGTAATGCTATTAAGATTATTTTTCAAAATATAAAAATATAAATTCAGAATATTATAGAAATAATTTAATATTTGGATTGGGTTATTTCGACGGCCAGTACTGCAATTGTGCATAAAATCGCTGTTCACATTTAAACAGTGTAAAAATTAAAACAAGTAACCTTCGTCATAATGGAATGGATGTGCACATAACCAATTTAGTTGTTTTCCGTGAATTATTTTCGACGTCGCCGCATCGTTGCGCGTCGGCATTATAATTTATTTTTATTCTTTTTCGTTTATTTATATTCCGATTATCAAGTGATAAAGTTAGTCGATCATTATTCATCATCGGAAATTCAAAACAACAATTTTTTTCTGTTTTTCATCGACCACCAAAATTAACGTATATTAATATTCGTGTACAGTGGCGGCTCGTGAGGTTCACGTTAAGTGGTGCACAAAAAATTTATGAAATATCTATGTTAGATGGTAAAAAAATTTATTTTGGTATAGGTACATACCACGAATAATACCAAAATAACGTACTTACTTATCTTATCTAAATTAAATTTTTTTAAGCATTTTACCCCATTAAAATGTGAACTAATGTGAGAAGTTTATTTTTCATGCATTTTGATTTTCAAATTTAAATGAGCCAAATCGTTTATACCTTTTTGTACCCAATTATTATCACCAGATTTTCGAGAAAAACTGTTATTTAATAAATATTCAACAGTAACCATGTTTGATTGTTTGATTGGTAGTTACAAACACAAAATTAAAACTACAGGTACCCACGAAAAATAAGATGTACTTCGTTCAGTTACGTATTATTGTAGTAGAGGTCCGGAAAATGTATTGACCAAATCAAGTGGTATATATGAACGTAATGATTATATTTTATTAAATAGCTTTCTCAACTATACTGACATTTTCCAGATACACAGTAGAATAAGCATAATGCCCAGAATAATTAATAATAATATAACATTTCCTCGGACCGGTTGAACAGAAAAATTTTCTTTACCTAAAAATCTTTAGTATCCGATGCTCAGAGCGATGTTTGATCCACTATGTTGCGTCTCGATAAACCCATCAGGAGGCATCCACAGTTTGATAGCAGAAATCGATTGGCAATTGCTATGCTAATGAACAACGAACGACCTGTATGATAATATCTTCTTGGCCGGCGGCAGACTTTACTTTTGTCGGTTTTCCCGGACAGTTGAAGTCAATGATTGATGAAGGGTTGCGGAACGGAGGTCAGGATCACCGCGCCGCTCGATCGCGAGTTTCCACGTGGATTGGCGGTTACCGTGTTGGCCTCTAACGTCGTACTTTCAACAGTATTGCATCGACAATGTCGGTACGCAGTGAAAAGGGCAGCAGCGATCCAATACAGAACATGAAACATTCAAGAATAACTGATGGTTTTAAATTTCGATATCAATTATGATGTGTTAGCAAACAACGATTCTTCATCGATGTATTTTATTTTAATTTGAAATATTTTAGTACTGTAGAGCCGTAATCGAGATATCTAATCATTATAGATCGGTTGGTTACATCTGCCGTAAAATTATATGAAATTAATACGGTTATTATAAAATTATATTGTACCCAGGAGTCAATCAACTTACTACCGGTCGTGGTTAAACAACATTAATAATGTATAAAGACAGTATAAATGATCAATATGCATGTAAATATTTTAAAAATATGTCATATTATATGTACACAATTGAACAAAACTAAATATAAGCTTAAAACTGACACAAAAATTAGCTTAAACTATGTAAATTTACAAAGATATATAAAGATACAGCTATTATAATTTATAATATATATTTATATTAGAGAAAAGTATATGGTTTCTTTCTTTACACTGATAAAAATAATAAAAATTTCAATTTTTATTTCCATTTAACTCATAAGTGCTCTATGATATAACTTGAAGCCTATAAAGTTCGGAGATTACTAATGTTGACTTTGCTAGGATTTTCGTAAAAGTTGATGTAATATACACAAATGTTATTAGTAGGGTTAGGATATTTATGCACTAAAAATGTATGAATATGTATGCACTTATGCACTAAAATCAACTAAATATGCATGAACAATTTGAAAATATGCATTAAAAATAAAGAATTTTGGACAAAATGCAATAAACATTTATTATTATAGACAAATTGAAAACTGAAAAATAAAATAAAATATAAAAATTAAAAGAGTTGCATTGAATAATTAAAGTTTGTTTT